CCTTATCCACCAAATCTGCAGGTTTTACCACCCCAGGGTACTGGGGCTTAGGGCTCTCAGGCCTCGTTGACACACTCCGCGAAGTGGGTCAGCGACAGGTCGTCAACGCGGGGTTCGGCACGGGTCTGCTCCGATCACTGTTTACGTCTGGCTGCGGAATGTCGGGCAGGGCTGGCCGGCGGCCGGGTGACTCTTGCTCCTACTGGCCGGGACAGGACCGTCGGTGATGTGCGCTCCGTGCTGCCGTGTCGGCCTGCGTACTCGGGGTGGACTGGCTGGATCAGCAGGAGCCAGAGAAACACAGGGAAAGGTCATAAGAATGACCTCTGAGTGCCTGGCAACGAAGTATCATTGCCCTACTGCCGGCTGCGCCCCGTGTGAATCTGCACTACCGGGGCATTGTTTACTATGGATACCGCGTTGTACGTGAGAGCAAGAAATACCGTGTTTGGAAAAGCTCCATGCGTCTCATGTCTCGTTTCACGCGGTTTTGTTTACAATACTGCTTTTCATTTGCTGTTAACTATTATGACACACCACAGTTCACGTGTTTTTAATTATTTCTCCGAAATCCTCAGCATGACTAAAAACCCTGCGTTGTCAGACCCTCACAGACCGGGAAATAATTGAGCGACGATCATATCCACACGATTAAGACATCAACATTAAGGCCGTTCCTCTTCCACGAAGCCCCGCTCCAGCTTCTTGGTTTATTCTTGAACCTCTTCCATTTCCTGCCAGATCATCCGGAAATGCGCGGGCTCTCTTCTGAGCAACGCCCAACAAGCTGTCACATATGAGCAGTTCACATCGCATTAGCATGTGTTCCGTGCAGCCAATGGCGGACCAGGATTGCACAACGGGCGGCGGAAGCGGGGCTCGGAATTCGCTGGGCGGCTAGAACCAATACCACCCAGCCCAGACACCAATGAAGCAAGATTTTTGATGCCAAAGGAAATGCAATACGCTCTCACCGGACCGCGGAGGTGATGCAACAGTGCCACAAGGAAGCACCTTTCCTGGTCCATAGTTTTTGCTGTCACGTGGAGGAATTTTCTTCCTGTCGCGGGCACATAGTACGCCGTAGCTTCCAGCGTGAAGTCGCCATTTAGCATACGGTGTGGGTGTTAGCTTAATAACCCCCTTAGAGCCCACCATTTTCACATCGGCATATGCTTCATCTATCGCCGTCAAATATCGAGAATCATGGCTTTCGAGATCTGGTCGAGAGCAGAGCTGGCTCGGAAACGCGCGTGTGCTGCAGTTCATGCTGGACGGGTTATGAATTAACCAGTGCAATCGATTCGGGGGGCGCTGCTGCGTAATTTTCACCCAGGCCTGTCGGCGCCGTTCAGCGACGAACGTTTTTATCGCTCTGTGAGCGCAATAGAAAGCAGCAGTGATGCTCATTTACGCCATCAACCACCCAACGTTTTTCCGTGGCCGCATTTTTGAAGGCCGTCGGAAAAACGCAGAATATGCACACACTTGCAGAGCGCCAGGAGCCGGAAGCACTGTGATACTTAGCGCGGCCTCAACCTGACTGCGACGCATGCCAGATCCCGGCCGGGGCACGCAACATGCCGGGTGAAGGCGCACGACATTTACGGCTCGACAAATGCAGCAATAACATGCCGTAGGAGTTGTTGTGTCAGTTTGTTTGCAAAACATCGCGTGGCGAGACGCTTGGGAAGTAAAACCTCGGGGCGCCTGTCCCACTGTTCCGTCAGCCACCGCAACACGAACACCCAAGGACGCCAGAGTCCATCCGGCCGCTCGCCGGGTGCGGATTACAGACGCACTTCGGTTGGGAACCTCAGTAGCCAATCAGCGACCAGGAAGCCGCCGCGCCAGGACAGTCTGAACACCGATCAGCGACGATTGTGGCGTGCGTATCACGGTCCGTAACATATCCGGGTATGCGCAGTTGGTGAGAAGGGTTACGATTTAGCTGGGCTCGGTCGGTGATTGAACCCACGCGCCGCTGGGGCAGTGCGCTGCGGGTGCGAACTGTGTGCCAACATTACTGACAGGCACGCACAGAAACATGACTCGACTCAGACGCCGACGGACCGATTGGTCTTCTGCTTGGGGACAAGGCGCTGTTATGCTGGCGTCACCAAAGTGGTTGACGGATCACATTGTTCTTGCTAAAAATCCAAGGGCACCGCTCGACGGCGCCTGACTTAAAACACTAGTGGTGGTACCGTTGACATTTCCGAGGCCGAACAGTGCCCGTTTCTGAGGGCGAACAGTGCCCGTTTCTGAGGGCGAACAGTGCCCGTTTCTGAGGTCGAACAGTGCCTGTTTCTGAGGGCGAACAGTGCCCGCTTCTGAGGGCGAACAGCGCCTGTTTCTGAGGGCGAACAGTGCCCGTTTCTGAGTGCGAACTGTGCCCTTTTCTGAGGGCGAACAGTGCCCGTTTCTGAGTGCGAACAGTGCCCGTTTCTGAGGGCGAACAGTGCCCGTTTCTGAGGGCGAACAGTGCCCGTTTCTGAGGTCGAACAGTGCCTGTTTCTGAGGGCGAACAGTGCCCGTTTCTGAGTGCGAACAGTGCCCTTTTCTGAGGGCGAACAGTGCCCGTTTCTGAGGGCGAACAGTGCCCGTTTCTGAGGGCGAACAGTGCCTGTTTCTGAGGGCGAGCAGTGCCTGTTTCTGAGGGCGAACAGTGCCCGTTTCTGAGGGCGAACAGTGCCTGTTTCTGAGGCCGAACAGTGCCCGTTTCTGAGGGCGAACAGTGCCCGTTTCTGAGTGCGAACAGTGTCTGTTTCTGAGGCCGAAGAGTGCCCGCTTTCAACAATTGCTTACAATTTGTGACGTCACGGATGGTCGCGCGGTTCCATAAATGTTTCCGCACCACTTCCCACACTACCGTTTCCTGACACGATCGGCAATTCGCCCCGCCCCAAACCTCCCAGGATCGGGACGGATCTCGGAGGTCCCACTTATCCTGGGGGAGACGAGGGCTTTGCGAGGAGCCTTATACCTAACAAAGTATTGCATTCATCTCAAAACACACCCTTGACGAAAATGCAGTTGGGGCATCTTCTGGCGTGAGTTGATTTAGAGAAAAAGTGAATTCCATCCAGGATGTGTCGGGAAGGAGCACACGTCACTTTGATAGCCCATGAGGAGAAACCCTATCAGATTCACGAATCACACCATCAGCGAGCTCTGTTTCAGTTTCACGTATAAGGACGGCGGGACACGAGCATATCACGAATCACGAAACACGCACCGGATCAGAATCGCGAGAAAGCTGCGGGAAGTTTCTATGAAAGTGTGCTAAAGACCTACGGCCCACGTCAAGGTAAATGCCTATCGTGTGGATGACAGAAAACGCTTGATACCAGTTGAGTTCTTACGCGCACGGCCAGGATTGTGCTGAATTTATTCGAGCACTTTCCACGCTTATTATTTTAACAGTTATGCAAATGAGGGCCGATTTATTGGATGCAATTTTTTGTTTGGGCCGTTAGACAAACCTATTTTGCATCTTTTGTTACATTGCCGACTTAGCGTTCTAGCTCCGCTGACGCAAAAACAAGTTTATTTCAAAATTTGTGTTACACAAGCTTGAGACTTTCGAATTGTGGACAAAACCAAGGTTAGCAATTGCAGCTAGGCATGATCGCTTATAAACGGGCAGAAGCCATAACATGATAGACAGCAGGTAATCCTTTTTTCGCTTAAACTCCGTACCACAATATCATAGCCTGCAAACATATGCCAAATAACTCTGGAAAGTAGTATGCCGCATATTGAAGTCCAAAAATAAGCCATCCGTGGCACTACGAAACGCTACCCGTGTCTCCTAGCATATAGGGCACATGTTCGAAATGGGCCTCTGGTTACATGCAGATTACGGATTCATGTTATACTTTGATTTTCTATTTGGCACTGGAGCAAATGTTTTCATAAGTGACATATATCGTCAGCGTATTGTAAATGCAAACTGCCTTTCACTGTTTATAAAATTCGTTTCAAGCCCAGCAAAACGGATCTTATGCTGCCATGAAATGGTTAATGGTCACAACTGCACGGACCAGAAAAACGCTCAAGCCGCGGATATTTTGCACTCTCTCTACGTGACTCGCGCAGTTTCTCGTCACTGCCTGTGGTTACACCTGGCCAGTCTCGGCAAACTTCTTTTCACGTACATGCGTACTTCATCACGTCACGCACTTGGACGAGGCTGAGCACGACGTCGCTATCGAATCGCTTTCAGGTACTTGGTGGATCATTTGTGAGCTCGTTATTACGCAGCGTCTGTTTTAAAATGGCGACTTGTACCATCTGTTTACCCACGATGTCAAATATTTCACTATCTTTTGTTGTGTTGTTGCTCCAGTATATGCTCCTTTGGAAAAACCAGCTTGCATGCTTGCCGTGGATTACTCTTTGTAAATGCTCCTGGCGTTTTTAGAATGGAAACATTTAGAAGCTTGAAGATGCATTGTTTAGGACGCATTTTCGTGCTCCCTTACTTGTCACAATTACAATGCATCACCGCCTCGTTGAAAAAAGGTGGCCTTAGCACAGTAATTGCCATCAAACATGGGAATCACTCGCTGGCCCTGAAATCATGTGATTGCACCGCATCCCACACTTACAATCCTACCAGATGTTACAAGTTTATTTTTCGGAACGTATAGACTCTGCTCTCGAATGACACGTCTGCTTTTCGTTCTGCAACAATTGCACCCCCTATCCACAGCATGGGTCATCAAAACTCTGCGGCAGCACAATGCACCCGTGGTTTGCGGAATCTCACCGAGTCAAAGTCCAATCAATGCAGCGATCCATCCTTTTGAGAGTCAATACTTAGGTTGTGTCATCACGGAACTAAATGACGCCAAATGTCTAGTAATTCGGCCTTCTTTCTCGGCGCTGACTAGGTGCACCGTGTTTTTGTACCATCCGGTGCTCACCGGGAGTCGGCGGTACACGGCGTCGGAATAAAACCACCTCGCTAACCTACTTCCCGCCAGTGCGGGACCGACTGCCGGCGCGGCGTGACCGTCTCGCGCCCAGTAGCGCGCATGCGCAGTAGTGGAGCGACCTGGTGCCGGCTGTTGAAACGGACAGACGCGATTCACTGAAGGTTGGTTGTGTGGGGACTGAGGACGACTCTGAGGTCTGAGGGAACCAGCACTGCATGTCTGGCTCGACAGGCAGGACGGCCCTCACTGACACAGCGGGCGTCATATAGGACCTGGACGGGCAGACACCCGTAGGGTCTGTCCGGACCCGTGTCGAATCACTGCGCGGGGAACATGAGCGACGCTTTGTGGAGATAAGAAGGGCCAGCTGTAATGTTCCGATACTAACGCTTTTGTATGCTTTTGTGAGCAAGGCAGCGGGCCGAACAAGCCCTAGTTACAAGTTAACTAACTCGGAATTTTGTAGCTTCAGCGGTCAGGCGCTGCCAGCCCAGCTGGTCACGTCATGGCCAGGTTATATCTTAATAACGACCGAGTGTGCCGTTAGTCAATTTTCAGCAGCATCATCGACACAATTTTACCTCTTCGTGCAATTAACACGGAAGGCACAAATTGTTTGAATCGCAAAAAGGCGATTGTATGAAGTATGAAGACCGTATGAAGATCGCAGATGGAAAACCAGTCCAGATCTCGGACACCAGGCATCACAAAGACATGAGACCAACTAGTGCCTTCGGAGGAGAAAACGGATAATCGTACTAGCAAACCGTCCGGGCAATCAGTGCAAACTCGCGCTCGCAGTCTGGCCTCATACGTGCATCCGCCCGCGACGAGCGTTTATAAGAGTTTATAAGAGTTATAAGAGTTGATGTCGGCGCTCGGCGACCATAGCACGTACAGGCGTGAAGCCAGGTGTAGGATAATGACGAACGTGCCGTTTGCAAATTGTTGGACGGTCTCAACAATGTCAGACTCATGGGTGCTGCAGCGAAAGAGTGGGGAGCAGACAATGTCACGCTTTCCAAAACCGGAGACAAATACGTGTTGTGACCTAATCGGAGACAGACCTCATGGATTTACACTTCACAATGTGATTATTGTGGCACTGTTCTACTTTGTACATGGAAATACGAATTTACAGCGCACGAATAAATCGTATACCTGCATTGGATTCCAAAGGCGATGGGTGCACTTACTTGTTTTTAGATATTACCTGCACGGTGGTAACAATCATATCTATTATCAGCTTGCTCATTGCACACCTCAAAACGCGTCTTACTGGCATCCGACACATAACTTAGCAGTAAGATAACAGATTATTGATACCAAGTCGAGGTTGCATTGCAGATATGCCAAGGAAGCCAACTGCCTTTATCAACTCATGCTTCTGTTGCTCATAGAAAACACAGTAGCAATAGCCTTATTCCTCGGAGAAAAACCAGGAGAATGGAGATAAAGTTGGGTTGGTATTTCGCAACATGCCTTTATCTAAACAATAGCAGAAGTGAATTAAAAATTGCCTGCCGATGATCCTACCCCATTTTTCAGGTTTTTTGACACAGCAGACCACAGTTTTGACAGGACACCAACATTCAGGGGATTAAACAAAAAGCAATTGCCAGCCGATACCACGAAGCAGTGCCTATCCAAGAATTAGAATACGCGAACATACGTGCACATGCAGACGAATTCAAGCAATCACGCATCACGCTTCATTCAAACATGCAAGTGAGCTGAAGTAAGCAGCCATTACACATCGTGCATCAATTCTACATACAAGCGATCTCAATTGAACGGGCATCGCACATCACGCGTCAGGCATCACTTACACATGTAAGAGATTTTAAGCTAGCACACATCACACATAAAGGAACATATCACGCTCGCATCGTCGGCCGTGATGTGCCCTGTATGTTAAGATTTGGTCACCGCCTTTTTATAAAAATAGATCCACTTGTTTTCCTGTCTGGATGGTCCTTCGCTCTGATGATGACTTTGAGATCTACAAGAGGCATAGAGCCCATACTTCCCTCGATTTCAGCCTGCGCGTGTTTTACCAAAAAGCAGCCACCGAAGCGGGCATTCCCTGTTTCGCTTTTAACGTCTCGCAGGTGTTAATTATATCTCAAATGAATAGGGCGCATGAACTCCCCGACATAGACTATGTCCCTCCCATGTTTTTCACACAGTCCACACTTGATTTCGTAACCCACGTTTTTTTATTATTTGCGTGCAAACCCCCTGAAACCCAGAACTGCATAAATTACATCATTGATACCCGGGCACTTAGGCCTCGAGATGGAAGATTTCACCCGAGACTTCTTTAGCTTATTGTCGTTCTTCCAAACTATGCGTGTGCGCAGTTTTTATTTTTAACAAAATGTTTGATTTTCCAAAGCAAATGATCATCTATGTAGGGCAGTGTTAAGAATCCGTCTTCCGATAGAACATGTTCCTGTCTTCTACCACCCATCCCCCACGCGCTCCGCACTTCATTTAGTTCTTCCACCATTTCACCTAAAAGTCGCGGAGAATACCCATTGCCCAACAGCAAAGTCAATATGTTGTTTATGCTCTTTCCTTTCCTTTTCACTACTTCATGAGTTGTCTAGAGTTCTATGGAACATGTCACGAATTATGTTGTGCTTAGTGGAAGTTGGATGCGCAGATTCGCAGTGCAGAATGGTACCAGAGTTGTTGGGCTTGATAAAGAGCTCCGTTTCTAACGTTGTGCGGTTGTCCCTCCTTTCCACCGTCACTAGCGTATCCAAATAAGGGACCCTGTTTTGCCCCCCCCCCCTACCCCCCCCCCCCCGTATGCTCCGTCGTAAAAGCTAGACTTGGATGCTGGTTGTTCATGACTGCAAAAGCTCTTCAAGGGCACGCTGTCAGTGCGTCCATATCCCAGCATAATCATCGATGTATCTACCTAAGAAAATTGGTTTTAATGGGCTGGCGACAAGGATCTCCGCTTCAAATCGGTCTAAAAATATTATTGTCAGAGGAGGAGCACGTAGACTCCCGATTGCTATTCCCAATATGTGTCGGCAGAAGTCATCTCCGAATGAGAAAACATTATCCTGGAGGCACCGTTCTAAAAGACCGCAGACATCCTCTTTTGGTAGATTAAAATTATTAATTTCACGGAAATGTTTGTCTACCTTAGCTTTCACGGCAGCAATAGCCTCATTGACTGGTTTATTGCCGCATAAATGGACAACATCTACGCTGAAGAAAATGCTGCCCTCTGACGACCCTCTTGCCCGCGAATGATTAGAAGCCCTTTTTAAAAAGTCTCTGGTGTCCCACAAATGAGTGGGAGCAGACGTTAAGATATGTGTTGGTGTTTTCCCTAAAAGACACCAAATTTTTCTGTAGGAACACCGCACGCAGATGACAGGTCTAAGGGGTACTGCGGGTTTGTGTTTTTAGGCACCCCATAGAATACAGGCGTTCTACCATGTCTAGGTGTCGACCCTTTGAGGGTTTTGTCCGAAAGTTTTCCGCTAACGGTGCTCTTTAGTGTCCTTTTTGTTTTAGCCTCTACCTGAGGGACTGGGTTCCTAGTCAGTTTTTCATAGCTGACGCTGTCGTTAAGCCTTAGCCTTAGCCTTGTCAACATAGGTTGGCCTATCTAAGATTACAAAACCCTTACATTATCGCTCTGTTTAACTATATCATCATTTTTGCTGGTACCCCTCATAAAGTTCCGCTGATCTGCAGTAACATTTAGTCACTCGTTTTAGTCGCTTGTCGTTTTCAAAAACTCGTTCACACGTCGCACATATGCAAGCGTACCGTCTGCACTTCAGGAAAGATGAGATTGATCCAATTCAGCGTCAGGGTTATGGTTCTGAAAAGGCCTTCTTTCGAAAAGTTTCTGTGATTGCCTCGTTCAATAAAACCTTAGCAAAGTTAGCAGAACGAGTTAATACCTTAGTTTCTTGGGGAAAATAGGCGTCTCAGGCTTCAGTGCGCCTCCAATAAACCGTGGGACTAAGCTTTTCTTCCGGCGGGCAATTGAGAATGCTTGTGCAATTGAAATCACTTGCATGTATAATTGATACGCGATGTGTGATGCCTGTTCACTTCAACTCGCTTGCAGTTTGAATGAAGCGTGATACGTGATGCCTACTTGCTTGAATTCGTTTGCATGTGCACGTATGTTCGCCTATTCGTATTCTTGGATAGACACTGTATCGTGGTAATGGTTGGCAATCGCTCTTTGCTTAATCCCCTGAATGTTGGTGACCCGTCGAAACTGTGGCTTCCTGTTTAAAAGAAAGCCACTGCAAATGGAGTAGGATCATCGGCAGACAATTTTGAATTCACTTCTACTATTGTTTTGATAAAGGCATGTTGCAAAGTATCAACTCAACAAAATCTTCATTCTCCCGGTTTTTTCTCCGATGAATAAGGCTATCACTACTGTTTTATCCATACGAATAATGTTCCTCGTTAGTGCACTAACCAACTTTCGTAGCTTCTGTTGCCCACTTGGTAGTTCGAATTTCCATGAAATCTGGCGGCTTCAATATTAATCTCATTAGTCCCAGGTTTCAATTGCATAATAGGTTTGTCACTCTTGAGCTTGAATTATTGTTGGTGCACATTAGTGGCATTTATGGAACACAATTCACTGCAAATGTGCGGTATATTACTCCGACACAAATTTTCTCTAAAGTTACATAATCTCAAAAAACATGCGCTCCCTGGCACTTTTGAGGTGCTACCACACTTCCTCACACGACTGTCTATAGATAGCGTGTTTGATGCTGTCACCCCTCTCGAAGGCTTTGAGGTCAAAATGCGTTTGGCGATTACCTGAGCTCGATTAATGGCAGATGCTTGACCGCTGCGCCTGGAACAATAAAATGCCGTTGATGTTACATATGTCGCCAAGTTACAGCCAGCTGCGGAACGGACGATGGAATCGCAGGGTGAGATGCATCATATCAGCTCAATAATGGCAGGCCGCCTTACCAAACCTGCCGATGTGTTTTACTTGGATACCCACATAATTATTCACCTGTTTGACATGTTCTGCTTTCCACAGGCTGTTGAATTAGGGTTACATTTTGTCGTGGTCTAGCCCGGTTCAAAACCGATCTATACAGCAGCAAAGGAGCAAAAACCTAGTTTGCCCAAGCGTAAATAGAAT